GGGCATCGACCTAGGATACAGGAGATTGTGGTTTGATTCCCAGTCAGGGCACATGCCCAGGTTGTGGGCTTGATCGCCAGTCGGGGGCGTACAGGAAGCAGCCAGTCAATGACTCTCTCTCATCACTGATGTTTCTGTATCTCTCTCTTCCTCTCCCTTCCTCTCTCTGAAATCAATAAAGATATATTTTTTAAAAAATCAATTTTTTAAAATGGTATATATTCAAAGTAGTTTTTTAAAAAAACAATAAAAATCACACCTATGAACATCAAACCCAAAGATAAAGAGAAAAATCAAAAGAAGCAAGATAAAGAAGTACATTACCTACCAAAGAAGCAAATACATATATTTTTAGCTGATTTCCCATTAGAAATAACGGAAGCCAGTAGGCAGTGTCATGGTATCTTCAACATGTTTTAAGAATAATAACCAATAACCTACAACTCTAGATCCAGTAAAAATGTCCTTCAAAAATAAGGTGAAATAAACATATTTTCAGGAAAAAAAAAAACCTGAAAAAAATTATTTACAGCAGATACAAACTAAAGGGAATATTAAACGGTGCTATTGCAGCAAAAGGAATTTTTCCAAGACAGAGGCCTGGAAACAAAAAAAGGAATGAAGAGAAAAGAAAAGGGTAAACATCAGGGAAATCTAAATAAATATTGACTATAAAACAACAACAATGATAATGTCCTGTGTGGTTTAAATTATATAGATAATTAGATTATAAAAGAACAATAGCATATAGTTGGCCAGGGGAAAATGGAATTAAAGTATTCTAAGGCCTTTGCACTGTATAGAAAGAGGTGAAAGAACTAACTTCTTTCAAACTGTAAGTCAAGAATGCATGTTGTAATCTTTAGAATATACACTAAAACAATAATAAAATAATGTACAACTACAAAGCTAACAAAGGATAAAAAAAATGAGACAAAAAAATCCAAAAGACGGTAATAAGGAGAGAAAAGGTTCAAAACAGGCAGGACAAGTAGAATGCAAAGATTATGATGGTATATTTAAAGCCAAGTATATAATTAATGACATTCAATGAAAATTGATTAAATGTGCCACTTAAAAGAGATGGGCTATATTAAAAAAATAAAGAGATGTCTGTTTACAAGAGATGTATTTAAAATGTAAAGGTTACAAATTTAAAAGATGGAAGATATACCATACAAATGGCACCCATAAGAAGGTAGCAGTATTGCCTGGTCAGGTGTGGCTCAGTGGTTGAGCATCGACCTAGGATCCAGGCGATCAGGGTTCAATTCCCAGTGAGGGCACATGCCCAGGTTGCGGGCTCGATCCCCAGTCGGGGGCGTGCAGGAGGCAGGCAGCTGAGCAATGACTCTCTCGTCATTGATGTTTCTCTCTCTCTCTCCCTCTCATTTCCTCTCTCTGAAATCAATAAAGATATATTAAAAAACAAACAAAAAAAGAAAGTAGCAGTATTAATGTCAAACAATGTAGACTTTATAGTAAAAAGCATTACTAGAGATAAAAAGAGACATTTTATAATAATAAAAGGTTCAGTTCAACAAGAAGATATAATAGTTCTAAATCTGTATGTAACTAATAACATACTCTCAAAATACAGAAATCAGAAATTCCCAAAACTAAAAGAAGACATGAATAAATACATAGTCATCACAGGAGATTTTTTTTTTATTTAATACTTTATTGACTTCAGAGGAAAGGAGAGGGAGAGAGAGAGATAGAAACATCAGTGATGAGAGAGTCATTGATTGGCTGCCTCTTGCAGGCCCCCCACTGGGGATCGACTGGCAACTCCAGCATGTACCCTGACCCAGAACCCAACCTTGATCTTCTGGATCATAGGTCGATGCTTAACCACTGAGCCACCTTGGCCAGGCTCATCATGGGAGGTTTTTAACACAAATATCTCAGCAACTGATAGAACCAGTAGACAAAAAAAATCAGCCAGCACCCTTGCCGGTGTTCTCAGTGGTTAGAGTAGGGTGGGGAAACTTTTTTCTGCCAAGGGCTATTTGGATATTTATAACATCATTCACAGGCCATACAAAATTATCAAATTAAAAATTAGCTATGAAGAAAGCTCCTAGATTTATTGAATTTCGATTCCCACCTGTGGTTGCCTTGGCGAGGCCAGACCAAATGATTTCCAGCCTGTGGGTGTGACATTCCCCACCCCTGCTCTAGAGTGAAAAAAACAACTAGAAAGTACCTCCATTCTTTTGATTAATTTAATTGGGTTTCTGCAGACTTTTATCAGCTGTTAGGTTTTTCTTAAGGAGCAACCACCAGAATTTCCTATATGATTGTGAATATAAATCTACTTTTGGTCCTTTACATGGAAAAGATAAGGGTTTTGTTTTGTCTTTGTTTTCAACACCCTTCTTTATGATGCCCACCATATTCTTGGCTTCGAGAATTGCAATCACAAGTGGGCCAACTTCACAGAATGATCAACAGTGATTTTTTTTTTTTACTCTAACAATCATATTGTATATTGTCTAACTCAGAGACTGGTGTTTCTCTTGAGATCATTGTGACTATCCAGATAATCTATAGGTACTCAGCTACTATGACTGAAGGAGAGTTATGATTTTAGGTTCCAAGTGACCTCACTTTCTATCGTCAGCACCTATTTCCCCACTGGGGAGGCTTTTCTATAACAATTCCCTTGGAGAACTTTGCTGATCTATGCATCCTAACTGCCCTAACTTTCTTGTGTATCTTGTTTTAAAAGTTTTTTAATTGAGGGATGACATAGATCTTCAGTGATTTCCAGATCCCTTTCTTGGGTCATAACTGAGGCCATCATATCATAAGCATGGATAGGTTTGAATGGCCTTATAACAATGAAGTGCCTCTGACAGTTCTGCCCATTTGGTCTCAAGAGATCATCTTGCAATTTATTATCATCAGTTTGCCTTCACTCCTTGTAGATAAACTGGTGAGAAACCTGAATGCTCTGCCCATTGAAGGGTGTATTGTTTTTATCTTTCTTCCTCTCCACCTAAGAGTTGCTGTAACAGCAACTGTCTGTGTTGGAAAACTAAAATATGAAAATATGACCTACGTGGCCAAATCCCACAAGGCTGTTTACTTCCTTATTTATGAATCAGAATCTGTCAGCACAACTTAGAATCTTGACTGTCAGCACATACTGCAATTAAATGTCCCTACAAAGCCAGCAGAGGGTGCACCAGGGCACTAGAAATTTTACCCAAAATGTAGCAATATTAACTTAACTCTAGTAGCCAGTCGACTTTATCTCTTTTTTTTTTTCTTTTTGGTATACTAAAACTAATATCCTCAAGATAAACTTAGTTGAGTTCTTCAAAGCATGCTCCAATTCTCCTGAAAATGAAGTTCAGGAAGAATAAGGAATACACAGTTAAGCTTAACCTAGCCAAAATGTAGATGGAGTAGAAGAAAGTGGTACAGATCTGACCAATCTACTCTGGCAAAATTCTACCCTGGAGATCCACTCTCCCCCAAAAGGGTCCAGGTAGTAGTATGATACAGGAGAATAGACACTGAACTGGGAGTCAAGAGACCAACACCTTGGACAAGTCACTCATGCCTCAGAGCCTATGTGTTCTCCAAGAGGATAAAACAAAATGGACTCACATGGCCACTCACAACTGTAAAAAACTCTGACTGCAACTGATGCCGGCAAATATAAAGAGCCAGTATCCATGCTTCTACTGCTCAGAAACATTAAAACAGAAAGACTAAAAGATAGAAGATAGGGAGCTGTATTTAAACTTAGGACTATTTGAAGTGCCATGCAAAGAACAGACAACTAAATGCCATAATAGACCTTGAGAGTCCCACATCATCACAGAAGCCCTAGAGTACAGCTGTCCTGCCAATCCTGTCTATAAATGTGGGTCTGTCTATTCTGAATGCCAAAAAGCCTTGGCTACCATTTCACTAAAGAAGTTAAATTCCTTCATTTTTTTCACACAGTATCAATGTTCAGCTGCTAAGTATTTCTACTGGGCATTAGAGGGGGTGGTGGATAAAGAGAGCCAGAATCCTAGTTAATTATCATTTAGCTACAGTGTTTAAAGTTTCAAGTATGAGAAGCATGTCTACTGATTCTGTTATTTGATAAGCTGTTATATAAGTTGGAGTGTGCTAGCAAGACATCTTAAGGCTCATGGCAACTTTACAATTCACATCATAGAAAAATGTGTCAGTCCTAACATTACAATATTATCATGAATGTGATGCCAGCTTTGGATGGATGGCCAAAGTAGCACAAATAATGTTTATAGAGTATGACAATGACTCCCAGTGTGGTAGTAAATACAGAAGGCCTGGGTCCCTCACCTGAAGGAAATTATTAGCGCAACTTGCTCTCTTCCCCAAGAGGAACAAATTCATTATTATTCTTTAACCACCTCAAAAGGATTCTTGGATGCTTCTCTTAAGTTGCACATAAGAAAAAGTTAGGAGGGCAAGAGGATATTGATTTTAAGTGTACCAAACTTACTTGAATAAAGTGCTAGAAAGAGTAGAAAACAAACACCAAAGCTGCTAACAAGGACAAAAACACCATAAAGACTGCAAAAAACAAAAACTATACACACACACACACACACACACACACACACACACACCCCACAACTGCTCTTGAGAGATTACTCTTGGGTATTTATTCCATCAGTAGATTCCTGTTCTCAAGCTAGTAACAGCAAGACACTTCACACCCACCCTCTCCATCCCACTCCCCCAAAAAAGAGTCTGAACCGGCATGCAAAGGGTGAGTTTTATTTCCATAGATTTTTAAAATTGCTCTTCAGAAGTTGTCTAGCAAGATGGCATGTTTCTACCAGAATTCCTCAGGGGCGCTAATCCTCACTACAACACCCAGGACAATCAGTCTCAAATCGCAGGTAAGTGTGAACAAGCCCGGGTTCTGGTCAGCGCACGAGGACCCGCGCTGAAAATATGATTAAAAGTTGTTTCAAAGGCCCGTGGAGCAGTTATTACAGCTGTTTACAGCTCCAACTCCAAATGAGAGCCTGCTAGTGCTAGCATCAACTCTGGACACGAAAAAACAAGCACTGCGGGCAGAGAATCTGTCCAGGAGCAGAGGGGCCAAGCTGCTGCCGTTAGTCCGCCAGAGGGGCAGCGCCCGCACCTCGGCGCCGCGGCCCAGCCGGGAGCGTAGCCAACTTTCCCAGAGGCAGCCGTAGCCGGGGGCGGTGGACGCGGGCCAGAGCTCCCAAGTCTGGGGTCCTGAGGGAGTCTGGGTGAGTTGGGCCGGGACCGAGTACAACCTGCCTCAGGGCAACCTCTCTCCGTCGGGCTCGCCTGCCCCCTCCCGGGTCCTGCCCTCCAACGTGGCTCGAAGTGGCTGAGTCGCCCCCGGGCCCGGTTGGGGAGGGCCCCTGTCCTACCGCCTCTGCCGCCGCCGCCCCAGCCAAGTGACTCACCTGGTGCCCGTCCTGGGAGTCTGGTGGGAGAGTGGTTTCTCCGGGTTCTAGCGGCGGCTGCTGAAGTGACGGCAGCCCAAAGTGGCGGGAGATGGGACCGTCAGGGTCGAGGTCAACGGGGCTGCTCAGGGTGCCAGAGGTGCCAGGGGTGCCGGGGCCGCCGAGGCGGGTCTCGGCTCCCCGTTCCCGCCGCAACTCGGAGCGCAACTCTAGGTAGCAGCACAATGTCAGCAGGTGGAGGGCCAGCGAGAGGCCAAAGAAGCCTAGGAAGAGCCGGCAGCTGTTTCCTTCGCCTGCCCGGGCAGGGGCCGCGCGACAGCCGCAGCCCTGGCTCCCCCGCTCCCTCGGAGCTGCCGCAGGCAGGGGCTCCTTGCGCTCTACCTTGGGGTAGCCCATGGCCTCCGGAGACTCCCACTCTCTGAGGCCCGAGAGACGCCGCGTCTGCCTCAGCCGCTCAGGACCCCTGACAGGCGGCTACTGTCCTGCCATGGGCTGGGGGCTGCAGGGACCCGTTCCTGCGCGACCGAAGCTGGGCGGGACCGAGCAGTGAGAAGCCGCATGTGCAGCTCCACTCGGAGGGATGGGAAAGGGAGGAGGAGGGGCGGGAGAGAACCTTGCCTCCGCCAGCGGAGGGAATGAGGGAGGAGGCCCGGGCCAACCACGCCCCATCCCTCAAGAAGCTGCCCAGGCGTCCAACCACCCCGCTCGCCAAGCCTGGGCGCCCCGCCCCTTAGCGTTCCACCCCTGGCCTCCAGCCGCG